AGACACCTCACCTGCTACTCATGAACATCTTAAAAGATGGTGAAATAGATTAAAAACTTGGCAAGATCTCACAGGAGCCCTTGCTAATGCACTTCTTCCTGGTTTTAATATGAAGATCTAACCAAGAGAACCTGACTAGAATCTGGTTGTCCCAAATGTCTCAATTGAGAATAATTAATCCTTGGCAGTTTGGTCATTCTTGCCCAGGAAGGACTAAGGGGAAAAGCTTAAATGGGTAACATTTTGGTTTCCTTCTACAAATATTTCAAAGCAATAAACCACATTTGTCAATGAGGGCTTGGCTTCCTCCAGTTTTTGATTCAAGGTCCTAGTCTGGCTGACACAGCCACATTTGATACACACAATAACTGTCCCGTAGCAATGTCAAGTGAGGGTGCTTCACAATAATTACAGCAGTTAATTATTTGTGCAGTGTCATAGGTGTGCCTAGCAATACATCGTTTAGACAAGCCCCTATCCCAAGAACCTTACAGCCTAATCTGGATGAACATAATTAATGACCCATGGAAATAAGAGCAGAAGCGAGGCAAATTTGAGCTCATCTCCTATTTTGTCTATGGGACATGCTGACCCCTGTGAGCAGCTCCTGTTGTTGCCGAACTCGTTTTCCAGCGGCGCCTCTCCGTTCCTGAGGCTCTGCCGCCCTCCCGCGGCCGCTCGGGCTCGTCCTGCCCGCCTTGGGGATGTCACCTCGTGTGCTTGTGCGTGTGACATGCGGCAGTCCCCGGGATCAGTACTCTGCCAGCTGAGGTAGACCTCTCATTTTTTGTGTCTCAGAAAACGAAATATGTTCCCTCCAGAAAGCATTTAACTGCGTTTTCCTCCAGAGCATAAGGCGCTCACAGCATCACAGGTTTATCCTGAGCTGAAAGGGACCCACAAGGATCACTGAAGTCCACCTCCCAGCATGGTCCAAATGCTCCATGAACTCTGTCAGTTGTTGCTGTGACCACTTCCAGTGCCCAACCACTCTCTGGGCGAAGAAGCTTTTCCTAATGTCCAATCTCAACCTCCCCTGACAAAGCTCCTAGCCATTTTCTCAGGTCCTGTCACTGGTCCTCTGCTCATTACAAAATTGGGTCTGGGCAATGATAGTGTGTGGTCAGCAACACATATTGACACAGGGACAAGCCAGCAGCTACAGCAGAGCCATGAACTTCTGGAGCTCTTAGATACATTACAATCCAGCCTGGATCCTAAGGCAGAAAAGAAACTCTTACAACCTAGGTGCAATCATTCCTGAAAGGCTCTTCCGAATCCACACAACCATCTTTATGTGAGCTGAACCAGGATGTCCTCCTGCATCTGTTTGACTCTATCCTTTGATCATATACTTAGTTAGAAACACCAGCAACATCTTTTCCAAGAATAAACTCTGAAAAGCAGAAAAACTGCATGAGTGAAGATTGAAGCAGCCTTCAGCAACTGAGGAAAAAGACTTCGAAGGACTTGGGAAGACTTCTTAAGAAAATATGAACTAGCAGCAAGAAAAGCCACAGATTTAGTATTTTGCCTGGGAAATCTTCCCGGTTTCCCATATGCACCCCTGACAAAATTTTTATGGCACCACAGATAATTCTTGCTTGCATTTCCATGAAATAAACAAGTAAACTTACATAATTTTACAGAGAACCAACAGGCCCTTTGTCCATGCACGTGCCCAGGAAACAACAGTTCAAAAATCTAGGCTATCCCAGTCACACAGCTCAAAGGAAGACATTAGGGATGTCCCAGCCAGCTGAACAGCAAATATTTATTGCATAAGAAAATTATGGTGGTGTAAATATTGTTGTGTTGCCAAGGAAATTGTAAAAAACTTCACACCCTCCATAAATTTGTACACATCTTTAGACAAGGACGTCTCTATGGCTTTGGAACAGAATGTGAGAAACACGATGAGCCTTTAAATATGCTTGAAAATGTACAGTGAGATATTGGAAAATCCAGACAATCCATTAACCTTTTATATGTGCATGTATACATGTAGTCATATGTGGACAAAAGCAGAAAACTGAATAAAATACTCAACACCTCAGTTTAAATGGACTTTATAAGAACACCCATGCTTTAAGGGTTTTTTCCCATTTTTACTGAAGTATGTTTTAAATAAATTTTCATAAAATGAGAAGAAAAATCATGTCATAAATACAGGTTATAGAAAAATAAAAGCATTAAGAAGATAGAAGAGGTTCAAAACTCAACACAAAAACATGAAGATATATTTCACTTGCTCAGAAAAAAACACCCTAGGAAATGTCTCACTTCCAAAACAACTCTGTCCATTTCTGTTCACTTTTATTTTCTTCTACTCCCTCACCTCAAAACTGTGAATACTTTTTAGATGCACACACACACTCTTACTGCACTCCTGAGTTCTCCAAACCCCAGCAGAAGAATCTCCCACAAGCAAATTTTTTCCCAATTTCTAGAGAAGTTTCCCACAGTCATTACCCTCCCATTAACAACTGATTATTTTTTCTCCCTCTCTTTTTAATTTGCACCATAGAATGCCATGCTTAACATCGAACATTTATTCTTTATTGCTCAAGCCAAATCTGTAAGGACCTACCTTTTACCTACTGTAAGGACAACAAGGATTGAGACACTTGTTCTTCAGTACAAGAGCAGAGTAGATTATGCACTGCATCTCCAGAGTAGATTATGCACTGCATCTCTCAGCTTACACAGGCACAATATGAATAAAGATGCTACACACCATCTGATTAACGCAAACCCAAAGCCTGCTCCTACTAAGGCTGCTTTGCAGCTCTTTGTGTAGTGTATGGACAATGTTAGACACTGCAGAATAACGTTTCTCAGCTGCAATGTGGATGAACCTGGAGAACTGAAGCTATAGAAGTCGGGAAGTCACATTCAGCTTCCCATGCTAATGTCAAGAAAACTGAATTTTTAACTTTATACTTGTCACAACTGCATGCAACTGTCCTATAAAAATGCACAAAAGATCACAGTTTCCTGAACTCTACTCAATCCAATCATATTTCTGTAGAAAGCTATGTTCATAAATCAATTGGCAATTAACTTTTTTCACCATAAAATATCTTTATGCATCTCTTGGAATGCCTGAGCCTCACGTTGTGTGTAGTACATGATTCAGAGTAACACCATGCTACAGACACAAGAATAATCAATGATCTGAATGTCTGTATTATCTTACCATGGAACAAAAGAACTGTGTAAACATACCTGGCAAGCCAATAGGATCACTTGTGTAGCAAATCTTTTTCATAGTCTACATTAAGATTGAAGGATGCATTTAAAAAAACAGCAGAAATAAATAGATTTGCCATGTAACCTAACTTTTTCCAGCCCTTCTATGCTTACAGACAGCTGTAATTCCTTGGAAAATACATTGAGGAAAATCCATTTCCAATATGAAATAAAATTTCAACCATTTACATTTTTCTTAAAAATAGAAAATTCCAGTATCTCTTGTTCTGTGTCCCTGTAAAAAAAAAAAAAATATCTTGCCTGAGAGAAGCAAGCAATTAACCATTTTTCCTCCCCTCTCACCCCATTTTCTCATAGAGCTCCAAAGTAGAGCTACTATAGATGAGTGCCAAACATAAAGCACTTCCAGAAGTCAAGGCCAGTATGGTCTTAGAAGAAATTCTGTTTGCTCCAGAAATACCAGGTAAGGCTTCCCAAACAAGCTGCTGAAATTCTGGAAGAATCAGCATTGTTCTCAAAGTTTTCAGGCAAACCCATGCTGGGGAGAATTGTGATGTACCTTAAGAATAGTGAAGATTCAGAATTATCATCCTAGCAATAAAGTCAGCTACTCTGTTTAGGTCAGTATCATCCCTGTCATGACTCACATAACACAGCATTTCTCAAAATAAAAAGCCATGTGAAATCTTAAATATTTTACTATGCCTACATTTCATGACTCAATCTCTAGAAGAAAATCACTGAAAAACATTTCACAATTGCTACAGAAATATTTAGAAGTTTAACTTCCAAACAATGTTCCTCATTCAAAACTTCTAACAGCTTCTAGGATGCTTCCACCTGAGAAATTAAGCCAACTTGTCAACACCAAACTGAATAAGTTTGATGTTGACAGGTTGGCTTGTTCATTAAAAGCTATTAGGACAGATTTTTTTCTTTTTCATTTCCACGCTGAATCTGAATCAGTTGCATTCACAGCTGCCATCCACATTGGAAATGTGGATGCCCACCCACTGTGGCTGTGACTGGATTGGCTGGTGACCCAAGCACACACATGGTTCCTGAAGAAGTTCCAGAGTGATACTGTTTGGCAAAGAATCTCATGGAAAAAATTGCAGAGAACAGAGAGACGCAGAAGCAGGAAGACAGTGAAATTCAAAGAGACTGTGATGCCATGCTAGGTGTTTTCCTGGGAAATGCCAGCAGACAGTGACATGAGACAGTCACTGCCTGCCCCAGGGCCTGCACACCCTCATCCCACAGGAACAGGGACTTAAAGCTGCAGACAACCTTCTTACAAGAGCAGGTACTGATAGGGAAAGGAGAAATGCCTTTACAGTAACAGAGGGTAACTTTAGATAGGATATTGGGAAGGAGCTTTTGACTGTGAGGATACTGATGAAATGGCACAAGTTGCCTCGAGCAGCTGTGGTAGCCCTGCATCTTGAAGTGTTCAAGGACACCTTTGGAGCCAGCCTCTGAACAACCAGATCTAGTGCAAGCCATCCCACCATAAGCAAGGCAAGGGGGTCAGAGCTAGATGATCACCAAGGTCCCTTCCACCCCAAAACCGTTCTATGGCTCCTCAATTCGATGTTGCCCCTCCCCCAGTGGGCCCTGTGCCACAGAACCCCGCAGTGCTCAGAACATGGAACCCACCCGTCTGTGACATCAGCGCCAGGACCAAGGGCACCACGGGCAGCACAGCTGCTGCAGGCAGTGCGGCTGTGACTGTGCTGCTGCACGGAGCTCTCAGTGCTTGCAGCTGACTCGTGCCTCTGGCAGACATGAATTGGCTCAGCCTCTTCGTCCTACTGACCATGGCCGGGCTGTCGCATGGGACATGGGACAACTGCGGGTAAGCGGGCCCAGGCCCTGGGAAGGAGCCAAGGCAACACTTGCGGCCTTCCCTGGAGGGACCCACCTGTCCCCCATGGCCAGGCCACAGCTTCCCCCCCACCATGGGAAGCCTCAGTTCCTTGCCAGCAGCCAGGTGCTGGCACGGACAGACACACACCCCATGGCCTTCCCTGGCCTGCTGTGCGTGCAAGGCCTTGTGGGGAGGGCAGAGGGCTGAGCTTCAGCCTGAGCCACAGCAGGCCATGAAGCACGGCCTTGTGGGGAGGGCAGAGGGCTGAGCTTCAGCCTGAGCCACAGCAGGCCATGAAGCAGCATGGAAATTACTTTCTGCCTGCAGAGGGATCTGCGGACTCCGACCTCCGCAATATGTAAACAGCCCCATGACTTATTCCTATGGCAATGTGGCTTATGACTATGGCATGACACGTGTCGTGGGTGGTGCCGGTGCCGCGGAAGCAGCTTGGCCCTGGATCGTCAGCATCCAGCACCCATGGGTACCAGGCCTGGGGCATATGTGTGGAGGTTCTCTCATCAGTCCAGACTGGGTCCTCACAGCAGCCCACTGCTTTGATGATGTGAGGTAAGGAGTAGCAGGGAATGGGGACATGTCCACAACACCAGCAGATGCCCTGTCAGCATCATCACCTGCTACTCTCATCCCCTTTCCTCTCAGGCAGCCAGGCTGCCACAGTGCTCAGGAGAAGCCTGGGTCATGCCAAGGCTTCCTAGCAGCCTCCAGCTTGACATTCCCCCAGCCTAAGATGTGTGAGGGCACTCACACCTGCCAGAGCACTCCTCCCTCTCTGCCTTTCCAAGCTGACATACAGCAACTGCTGGGCTGCTGTGGCAAATGGCTCTGCTCCCTCTCAGCTCTCTCTCCACCTCCTTTCCAGTAATGCCAGTTTGATCTACGTGGTGATTGGGGCCACCCGGTTCACTCAGCCGGGCCCTGGGGCTGCAGTGCGCAATGTGAAGCAGGTGGTGGTACACCAGGACTACAACCCTAAGGACTTTAGCTACGACATTGCCCTGATGCAATTGGACCACCCTGTCCAGTGCAGTTCCTACATCCAGCTGGCCTGTGTGGCTGAACCCACCCTAAGAGTCTCAGAGCTCATCAACTGCTGGATTGCTGGCTGGGGTTCCACTGTTGCAAGATGTGAGTACCAAGAACAACACCTGGGGCAGCTCAGACCACTGAGGAGAGGGTTTGGGCTTCCCCACAGCAGAGACCAAAGTGAGGCTGCAGGACGTACACGTCTGCAGAGATGGGCCTGGCCTGCTCCCCAGAGGCAGGAAGCAGGGATACAATGCTCCAGTGCCTCTGCAGATGCAAAGCCAAACCCAGGGAAAGAGATAACCACCTGAGAGATGAGCAAACTGGCATGGACCTGCCAGAGGCTTATTCCTTTCTCTGCTCACAGCGGCAGGTACTACACCTGATCTCCTCCAGGAGGCCAAGGTCCAGCTCATCGATCTCCAGCTCTGCAACAGCAGTGACTGGTACGGAGGGCAAATCTACACCCACCAACTGTGTGCTGGATACCCACAGGGTGGCATCGCCGCCTGCCAGGTAGGAACGTGCCATGAGCCACTCAGCCCCAGCAGCACCAGCAGCCAGGGAAGCACCACCCCAACACAGCCCAGGGCCTGCTTTGCCCAGCCACTCAGTCACCCTCCCAGCCCCAGCTCCCCCTGACTGCTGTGGGGGCTCCCCACACACTGCCCGTCCACACCTGCCTGCCCAGGCCTCCCCTTGTGACAGAAATCCCAGAAAGCCCACTTCTCTTGGCAGTGAAGAGGTCCAGGTGCCAAAGTTCCATCCTCTGCACAACCAGGAGTCCTGTGCAGAGAGGATAGAGAGAGCCCTACCCTACATGAACCCATGCCATTCACAGCCAAGCTTCTGGAGGCTCCAGCCTCTGAGCAGAGCTTTTCTCTGCGCAGAATAGAGCTCTGGCAGGGGCTGTGAGAGAGAAGGAGACAGCCCCAGTACTGGCAGGTGCCACCAACACCACCTTAATCCTCTGTCCTCTGCTGCAGGGTGACAGCGGTGGTCCCCTCATGTGCCAGGACAACAACGCTGACCACTGGTGGGTCATTGGAGTCACCAGCTGGGCAAATGGATGTGCCAGAGCAATGCAGCCTGCAGTCTACACCTCCACTAAGTACTTCTATGACTGGATCGATTACAATATGCGTGTAAATGCAATGAAAAGTGCTCCTTGAACAGCAGAAGCAGGCAGGAACCAGGGCAGGCTGCAGTGCACCACAACCATTTCCTGCTGGGGCAATGCCTGCTGATCCAAAGGCAGCCTCAGGGTCCAAACCCTGCTCTGTCCTGACCACACTCATCTCCTCTGTGCACACA